CAATGTGACGTCCTTTGGTATTTCGGAAAAGTTCTTACATTTTTGTTATGACGACAATGTGACGTCCTTTGGTATTTCGGAAAAGTTCTTACATTTTTGTTATGACGACAATGTGACGTCCTTTGGTATTTCAGAAAAGTTCTTAAATTTTTGTTATGACGATAATGTGACGTTCTTTGGTATTTCAGAACAGTTCTTAACTTTTTGTTATGACGACAATGTGACGTCCTTGGGTATTTTAGAAAAAGTTCTTACATTTTTGTTATGACGACAATGTGACGCCCGTTGGTATTTTAGAAAAAGTTCTTAACTTTTTGTTATGACGACAATGTGACGTCCTTGGGTATTGAAAGTGGCTGACCATGACGTCGCGTCGACGTGATCGGTAATGAAGTGGCTAGGGGGACGGGGGGCTTCAAAGGGTTTCCTCTGCTGTCATTACGTCTGTTTCTCTTGAGTACATTTATCTCCTGTTATCTTACTATACCGCTCTGAAAAAGCAAATCTTATGAACTGTACTGCCATGCTATTGCTTCCTGGTGAATACATTTGATCACCTTTTAGAGCTCAAATTTAAGCAAACTGTGATATTTCACACCACCAACTCCTTGTGTGTGTGTGTGTGTGTGTGTGTGCGTGCGTGCGCGCGCGCGAGTCAAACATGCAAAGGGCGGCAACAACACCGTTAAAAAAAGTTTTCCATCAGTCCTTAGTTTATGCCCCTTTCAGCTTGACTCCAAATTGAAACCGTGTCAACAATGCAGCTGCACACTTTGTCCAGAAACGACCTACGACGACACCGGGGTCAAGGACGTCAAACAACATATACTTTTAAACTGTAGTTTTCGTCGATCCATTTAACTACTAAAAATACCGTTACAGAGGAACATAGAAATTCGGCACTATCTTATAATGGGGGGTGCTTCCTAAAGTTGGCCGTGTTTGAGGCGAGGTCAGCGTTGGTTGTTGACCAAAGTTGCTGTTATTCACAATCCTGTGCTTGTTGGTTCCAGAGCATTCAACTTTGCTAGCACAGCGGTCACTTGTCGGTCATCTATGGCAACATTTTATTCAACAAAAAATATATCTCGTTATCAATTAAAAAAAACAATAAAATAAAAAAAAACTGCTAGTACTAATAATTATTACATTTTAAAAGAAATCATCAACATATCGCAAAGAATAATTTAACTGCATATATTGGATTACATAAGCTAAGGATATTCATTTAAATATCAATTTAGAAACATCCAATGTAGAATGTAATAGATTTTTTTTTAACATTCAATATTTTATCATGACAGCTTAGGTCATTAACCATTTCTTGACTGCTCTGTTAGTTTGTTTTTTAAATTTCTATTTTTTAACCGGCCAAACCGTTTGAGAACCGCTGATCGAATGACAGGTCATGTGCAATCCAGTACCTGGGCCTCCACCTGCCACCCCTTTTGGGTCACCTGTGCCAGACCCACTTTTGTATTCATCTGTGCCTACACTACTTTTGTCTTCACCCGTGCCAGCCACCCCCCCCCCCCCCTTGTTGGACCCCCCCACTTCCAACACCCCCCCCCCCCCCGCTGTTGCATTCATCTATGCCAAACCCACCGGTGCAGCCAAGGACTCAAACTATTGTACTAAATCTCCGTTGTGGTCATGACTCACCGCCAGTGCCAATAGTTTATTTTCTCGACCTTTCAATTTTTGCAGCTCTAATCCTCACACTGCTGGCGCTCACGGGGCGTCATTGTTGTGCATGCTAATGTAAGCTATTCAAACATTTGTAATATTATTTACCGAAGCTACATTCATGATTCATTTAAATTCATGTACTGTGTGTGTGTTTTTTTTAAACATTATTATGTCTCTTTTATAAAAAAAAAAAATTAAATGTATAAAATTATAACGCCAAATTGTTTAACGGTATATGTCATATGTATCCTTCTATAATACTTTTTTTGTAGAGATTAGCAGGACATGATAACTGATTTTGAGAAACCGACCAACGCAACCATTATTTTTATGGTTTCCCTTATCTTTCTTCACCGCCTTCAGCTCCTTTTCCAATCTCTTCTACCGTCTAATGTATTAATATCAAGACCATTCTCACACCGCCTGGCACCTAAAGAAAATAGAATTAAAAAAAAAACAAAAAAGAAAAAAACTAGTCTGTATATTTAACATAAAAACACTTATTTTTTTGTTTCATTATTTAAGAAACTTTTTTTTATTATACAAAGCGGTATTTGTCATTGGGTTAATTTTAAAACAAAATCTATTATTTAAAAAAATTTTTTTTTTTGTAAAGGCAAAATTTTCAAAATGACTTCTTTCACACTTTACCTTACAAATATACTGACATAAGATTATTGTTTTCCTTTCAAAAGGGCCATCACTAATTATACTTCTTCATTCTGTGCCTCAAACATGAAATTTTTTCTGCGTGAAGCTTAGTACTGTCTTCTTCATGACACAGTTCCTAATTCTGACTTCAAAGCGGCATAACTTCCCTGGCCCAAATGCGCGCTATTGAGTAAAGCCTTTATATTAAACATCGCTTTTTTTGTTTTTGTTTTTTGTTCGTGTAGATTAATTAGACAAAAAAAAATTGTGTCAATAAAATAATAAACGGTCAGCTCTAATGATGATCGTACAGAATAGAAATGCAAACGTTTCAGCAAAATGTCTTTATCAATACAAACAAAACAAACAACAACAAAACAAACATTCATGTAAATATAAATTAAATTTACATAATATAGTATATCCTAAATAAAAATGAGAGAAAAGAATAAGAGTAGGCGCAAATCACTGACAAGAAACAAAGTTCAGAGGAACAGAAAGGGAAGTGAGTGGAGGTAAAATACCCTAGAGTTTAATGTTATTTAATAAAGAGTGTATTGTCGTTTCAGTGGATGGGCGCGTAAGGAGCATCAGCTACTTCTCACTCAGGGAGCAAATTAATAGGGACGACCTCCTTACGTCATATGGCCCAAGAAAAAAATGGCTGAACTTGTCTCAGATTGAACATCTCAAGAGCACATCAAGACAAGGTCAAGTTTTTTTATAATTTTTTTTTTTACAACGGTCTTGCTGGCTGAAATTGTCTCAGATTGATATCTCAGAAAGCACACCAAGACAAGGTCGCGTTAGACAAACTGTCTAGCTGGCTTGAATTGTCTCAGATTGATATTCCCAAGAGCACACCACGACCAGGTCAAGTCGCACAACGGTCCAGCTGCAGCCCTGCTCCGCTGAAGTATCGCCATCTCGATTCTGATCCACGATGGCCGCCCCACAGAGTACCAGCATGAGGTTCGACTACACAATAAAGATCATCCTGCTCGGGGACCACGCCGTCGGCAAGAGCTCCCTCCTCGTGCACCTCGCCGAGCAGTACGAGCCGAAAGACAACAGCTGCCAGTGTTTGGACTTCAGGCCTAATGGTCACGTGGAGTTGGCCATGAGGAGGAACGGAAAGCGAATACTCGCAAAGATCGTGGACACGGGAGGTATGTAAAAAGAATTCACTTGTTAGAAAAGGTGGAGTCAGTCTGTTAAGGTCTGTCGTGTAATTAAAAAAAAAACACAACACAGTTATTGCTTCAATGGTAATACGTGGAGAGATTGCAATCAGGTTAGCAAAATAGGAAATGAGTAAAACAAAGTATGGTCAAGGAAGCCTTCGTTGTTTATTCACTGACGAAGGCTTCCTGCCGAGACGTTCGTTGTTTTGTTGCGTTCTTTTGTTTACGTTTGACCATACTTTTTTTTTTACTCATTTCCTATTGTTTTAATGTTGTTGTCAATGTTGCAGAAACGCCTCACAGATTATAATCTCGCCTACTTAAAAAAAAAAGACGTGGTGTACTGTCCAAACCTTGCTCTGATTGATCTCAATTTATTTTATCTGATGCACAAGTAAATAAACACCTTACAAGTATCCATTTTCTCTTTGTTTTACAGGGGAAATGCACTTATAAAGTGTGTTTTATTTGTGGGTGGGTATGACATAAAGCACATTACCTTAAAGTGGTCACAATTTCTTAAATAGCCAAAAAAGACGAACGATCCAGTTGTCTACATTTATTAATGTGAAATGTCCCTCCGGGGGAAGATTTCTGAAATATATCACTGCATTTAATGAGTCTGGGTCTGGGGCGTTGTGAAGGGCTGCTCCAAGATACCGGGAAAATTGCCTCCTTTTTATTAAAATTATAATTTCCCACTAGTATTAACACTTGCATAAATATCTTACACCCGTGTCACTATCTTACACCAGCACGACTATCTTACACCAGCACCGCTATCTTTCACCAGCACCGCCATTTTACACCAGCACCACTATCTTACACCAGTACCACTATCTTACACCAGTACCACTATCTTACACCAGCACCAATATCTTACACCAGTACCACTATCTTGCACCAGCATCTCTACCTTACAGAAGCACCACTACCTTACAGAAGCACCACTATCTTACACCAGTACCACTATCTTACACCAGCACCGCCAGCTTACACCAGTCCAACTATCTTACTCCAGCACCACTATCTTGCACCAGCATCTCTACCTTACAGAAGCACCACTACCTTACAGAAACACCACTACCTTACAGAAGCACCACTACCTTACAGAAGCACCACTACCTTACAGAAGCACCCCTACCTTACAGAAGCACCCCTACCTTACAGAAGCACCACTACCTTACAGAAGCACCACTATCTTAAAGAATTGTTTCTCTCACAGGCCAAGAAAGATTCCGTAGCATCACAGCGTCCTTCTACCGTGGGACTCAGGGTTGTCTTCTCCTGTTTGACGCCGAGAAGCCGGACACATTCAGACACGTCAACAGTTGGTATGTGGGTCTACGGCATGAGAACTACTTGTTGTGTTGGTTATCGGAAATTTTGTTGGAAATAGATTTCGTCGACGGAAAACTAATCGACGGAAGTTTGGTAGAACGGACGTTTGATCGAATTTTTTTTATCCCCCCTTCAGTTTACACGATCAAATTTTCGTCAAATTTCTCCTTGAACCCACTATACCGGGGGTGGCCCACTTTTTCAGCAGGCGGGCCAAATTTCAGAAATAGTTTTCCAAATGAAAATCAGTAATTCGGGTTCTCACTTGTGATTTGATTTGCTTCAAACGACTAAAATGCGGTTCATGCGCAAATGTGTTTCCATCTAGCGAAACCGTCGAAAGAGCATGTTTGTAAAATGCAGGATATTGATCCTTGTCCCAACACTTGTCCCACTGCCTCTAACAAATCTCGTGACTTGGTAGTGTCCTTAAGTGGGTACAGTGCCGCTAATTCTTCTGTCTTTTTAAAATGGACATCAACACCACTGATGAAAATCGTCAGTTGGTCAGTATCTGCCATATCTGTGCTTTCATCCAATGCTAAAGCATGAAATATAAACGCGGATGCTTGACTTTTCAAAGTATCCTAAATAGGTTTTCCAATGTCATCCACACATTTGAATTTTTGCGAAAATGGGGCATAATTAAAATAGCTCAAAATCAATGAATTTTTTTTATTTTTAAATGCGAGATATTTCAAGATTATCTAGGCTATAATTTAAAAATATATGAAATGAACGCCTCATGATGTAATGTTCTTTTGGTGATGTGTACAAATACTTCAACACTTATGTTCATTTAACATAGTTCCGCGGGCCGCAGCATGACTCCTGGTGGGCCGCATGTGACCCGCGGGCCTCATCTTGGCCATCCTTGCACTATACTATTTAGTAAAGCAAAATAATGCGTTCAAAAAGAAATTTGACGCAAAATTTGATAATGTGAATTGAAAATAAAATTCTATCAAAAATTCTACCGTTCGACCAAACTTTTGTTCGATCACTTTTCCGTCGACGAAATTTCTTTCAAACAAATTTCCGGATATGGAAAACACTAGGTGTGTAGGTGTATGACATGTAATTCATTAGCCTTTAGTCGATGACATATGAACATTTGGTATGTTAATTGTAAAAAAAAAAAGATATATGTGTTAACGTAATGTTTGTGTCTGACATGCGCACAACGAATTATAGGAACTAGGTCTATAACGGCTTAAAGCATAGTTCCTCTCCATTCAGATACCCTCCCCCTCTCCCTGATTCCACAGTCCTTTGTTTCATTTTCGAAAGGGCCTCAGAAATAAAGCTTACTTCACTTACAAGCTTTCTGCACTTACATGCCTACTTCACTTACATGCCTAATTCACTTACATCCTTACTTCACTTACAAGCCTTCTGCACTTACATGCTTACTTCAATTACATGCCTAATTCACTTACACGCTTACTTCACTTACATGCTTACTTCACTTACATGCTTACTTCACTTAAATGCTTACTTCACTTAAATGCTACTTCAATTACATGCCTACTTCACTTACATGCTTACTTCACGTACATGCTTACTTCACTTACACGCTTACTTTAAGTACATGCTGGCTTCATTGACATGCTTATTTCACTTACATGCTTAATTCGCTTACATGCTTACTTCACTTACATGCTTACTTAATTTACATACAGGTGTACTTTACTTACAGGGTTACTTTACTTAGAGTCTTTCTTCACTTCATAATTATGTTTGTTCTATTTCAGGCACACAGACTTAGAGATGTACACAAGCAGACAGCCGATGTCCACGTTCTTGTTAGGGATCAACACACAATCACACAACAGGCAGGTGGGTCAACACACAATCACACACCAGGCAGGTGGGTCAACACACAATCACACACCAGGCAGGTGGGTCAACACACAATCACACACCAGGCAGGTGAGTCAACACACAATCACACACCAGGTAGGTGGGTCAACACACAATCACACACCAGGCAGGTGGGTCAACACACAATCACACGCCAGGCAGATGGGTCAACACACAATCACACACCAGGCAGATGGGTCAACACACAATCACACACCAGGCAGGTGGGTCAACACACAATCATATATCTAGGCAGGTGGGTGAACATACAATAATATACCTAGGCAGGTGGGTGAATATAGAATCATATATCTAGGAAGTTGGGTGAGCATACAATCATATACCTAGGCAGGTGTGTGAACATACAATCATCTACCTAGGCAGGTGTGTGAACATACAATCATATATACCTAGGCAGGAGTGTGAACATATAATCATCTACCTAGGCAGGTGTAGAAACATACAATCATATATCTAAGCAGGTATGTGAACATACAATCATATACCTAGGCAGGTGTGTGAACATACAATCACACACCAGGCATGTGGGGGAACATACAATCATATATCTAGAAAGTTGGATGAACATACAATCATATATCTAGCAAGTTGGATGAACATACAATCATATATCTAGGCAGGTGGGTGAACATACAATCACACACCATACAGGTGGGTGAACATACAATCACGCACCATACAGGAGGCTGAACATACAATCACACACCATACAGGTGGGTGAACATACAATCACACACGATACATGTGGGTGAACATACAATCACACACCATTCAGGTGGGTCAACATACAATCACACACCAGGCAGGCTGGTGAACATACTACTATCATACACAAGGTAGTTAAGTCAGCACACAATAACAAGTTTTTCCAGGTTTGTCTAAACCAGTGGTTCTCAACCTTTCAAAATCCGCGACCCTTTATTACAGTTCCGCATGTTGGTGCGACCCCCAACCACAAAATTATTTTCGTTGATACTTTATAACCGTAGACCATATGTGTTTTCAGGTGATCTTGTGCGACCCCCAAAGGGGTCGCGACCCACAGGTTGAGAACCACTGGTCTAAACGTTATAAAATTTGAACAGCGGATTTAAACTGTGAACTTTTGAAATGTCGGCCAACTTTATTAATGTGACATCTTCATCATCATCAGCATCATCACATTTTCAGCTTTCTAGGACAAGAGGATGTTACATAGCGTATATTTTTTAATACTAACTTATCATATATTTTTTTATATTTACATATCGTTTACTTTTTAAATACTTAAATATGCTATATTTTAAAGAACTCAAATATTCGGAATATTTTAAATACTTACATATTTTATATTTTTATTACTTACATATCTTATATTTTTATAACTTGCATATCGTATATTTTTTAATACTTATATATCGTATATTTTTTAATACTTGCATAGCGTATATTTTAATACTTACATATCGTATATTTTTTAATACTTGCATAGCGTATATTTTAATACTTACATATCGTATATTTTTTAATACTTGCATAGCGTATATTTTAATACTTACATATCGTATATTTTTTTTTTACATATCGTTTATTTTATAATCATATATCTTTTTATTAAAAAAAAAACATCAACGATTGTTTAGCTTTTAATCCTGACGACTACAGCCTATCTCGCATTTCTATGCCCCCCCCCCCCCCCCCCCCGTCAGGTGACACCAGAGCAAGTGGAGCGCCTCGCCACACAGCTCGAGATGCAGTATCACGAGCTGCTCCTCACCAAGAAGTCCAACGCCGTGGAGATCGTGTTCGCCCTACTGGACAAGATCGTCACGCACGCGTCTCGCCTGCCGTCCCTGACGATAGACATTCTGCCCTACCAGGCCAGGCAGCATCTGGCCGAGAAGGCCAGGCGGGGCAGCCAGGAGGGCGTGCTGGACGCCGAGAAATTTAAATGTGCCTGCTGAAATCATTTCGTACGCGGCCAGTGATTGCAGGGTCGGGTTTCAGACAAAGGATTGAAATCACTACGTGGGTCAATGGTTGGACTTTCTTTGCTTTTTTTTCTTTTCTTTTTAATGTTTACATCCTCAATACGTTAAGTTTGTATTTCTCTGAAGTTTTTATTTTCTCAGGACGATGTTGGAAGTGCGTTCAATTTCAGTTGTTAAGTTTCAATGAGTTGAACAATTTTATGAACCGCTCTCCATTCTTCATCAGCTGCTGCATCTGGAAGTTGTTGGCAATCTCTCACGATCATGCCGTTTTTTTGTGTTTTTTTGTGCAGTTGCCGTAGTAGATTATAAGATCATTGGACAGCTTCTTCTAGGGTCAAAAGTTCTCTCGGAGTTTAGACCTTTCTGGATCAGAGGCGTAGCTAAGGTGGGGGGGGGGGGGCGGGGCGGGGAGAAATATCCAGAATGGTTAGGGGCGCCAAAATCTGGATTGATATTATTTTATTGATGAAAATAATGGGTTTGAGAGTTGAAAAAAAGGAAGGGAGGCGCTTTGATTTTGATCGTGTCCCCGGGCGCCAAAAACTCTAGTTACGCCACCGGTTCTGGATCACTCCTTTGCTGAAACCATAAGCCGCACTCGAGTTGGTGTCTTGTGATTACTTGGCTCAATTTTTATACACATTGTGTTTGATATTTTTTTTTATAAATTACTTTATTAATAAATTTCTTTTAACCTCTAGATTTGCAATGCCAAACATGGATGAAACCCTCCATAATATCAACGAAGAAGAAACCAAAAAAAAAAAAAAAAAAAAAGAAAAAATTTTTTTTTATAAATTACTTTATTAATAAATTTCTTTTAACCTCTAGATTTGCAATGCCAAACAAGGATAAAACCCTCCAAAAAATCAAAGAAGAAAAAACCAAAAAAAAAAAAAAAAAAAAGAAAAAGGTCTCGCATACAAAGATATTTTGTGTGTTCAGTTTGAATGTTAAGTTACGCCTTCAATCTGTAATCTTGAATAAATTGAATGTATTCTTTGTAGTGTTGGTCTTGCATTGTGTTGAAACTATGGTGTTTGTTTTACAAAAATCACACCCCAACGTCACCCAACAGATCTCGGGGAAAAGTCTTCGGGGGGTCGGCTTGTTTAAGAGAGGAACCATTTGATTAAATTATGGCTGCAGAGAAATTACTCAGTGTGCGCAGGCAGTGGGGGACTGGAGGATCAAAAGTGCACATGACAACTGGGGTGCACAGCACACCGGGAGTAACATGACACCTGGGTTGCACACGACACATAGAGTGCACAGCACACGAGGAGTAACACGAAACCTGGGGTGCACACGACCCATAGAGCGCACAGCACACCAGGAGTAAAACGACACCTGGGGTGCACATGGCACGTAGAGTGCACAGCACACCCGTAGTAACACGACACCTGGGGTGCACACGACCCATAGAGTGCAGAGTACACCAGGCTTAACACGACACCTGGAGTAATGGTTTACTTCTAAGACTTCCAATTTACAAACAACATGAAAAGCGAGTTTTTTTTAAATAAATTATTTATTCACTCTTTTTATAATTTAAAAAAAAAAAAGGTTTAATAATGAAAAGAGACGCATTTGTTCCCTGATAGGGCTTATAAGCACAAGCTACTAGCATAGTTTGACCTGAGTTTTTAAAAATTCAAGTACAATTGGTAATTTAAAATTAAAAAAAAAAAAACACCAACAAAAAACAACAACCTAAACAAACAAAACAAAACAATATTGAGTTCTGGACGCTACTAAAAATAAACGATTTATTTGTATAAACACAACCAAGCCAAGAGACACTTACATATCCACTTGCATTTCTTTTGCTGCTCTTCCATTAAGTTTAGAGGATTTTAAAGTCAATCAGGTATGGGCCAAGAACGGATCCTTGAGGTTTTGAATTTATGAAGAAAATAAAAATAATTGGCGATTCTCCACCCCCCCCCCAACCCCCACGTTCGCTCGGGAGCCTTCCGTGGCCTTCCCAGCTTTCTCCCCCCCCCCCACCCGCCACCCCGTCAGTCAAATCTATAATATATATATTTGTTAAAGAGCTATGTCTCAATCCATATATAGCTTTAGTTTATGCATTTATTCATGTCTCGATTCTCCCCCCCCCCACCCGCCACCCCGTCAGTCAAATCTATAATATATATATTTGTTAAAGAGCTATGTCTCAATCCATATATAGCTTTAGTTTATGCATTTATTCATGTCTCGGCACGTGTGGAAGCGTTGTCAACTGAAACTGAAGGGCATGACGAGTAAGTGAGGAACTCTGTACATCGTTTGTTTGATGTGAATGTTATTGGATAGGTGTAGCGGCAGGTGGCCCCCGCGTACTGATGACTCGGAGATCAAAATGGCCGGAGAAGCTATCTGGGTGAGCCGCACCTGTGCTAACATATAACAAAATGAACGCAGGCGTCGACAGTCTATAACACTATACTCTTAGACCAATATCACTTGAAGATGCATTTCTTCTTCTTCTGTACTTTTAGGGTCCACCAGTATCAATGTATTGATCATTCCAGCTCCTTTCTTTGTAGAAGGGTTCGCGTTGTAGCTGTGAATGGTTTTGAAAGGGAAACTCGACTGGTTGAAAGGGCCACTCAGCTATGGTATCAGGAACTGGTGGGGTTGGCAGGCAGGACGCAATAGACGCAAATGTGTCAGGTGTTGTCGCCTCAACTGTTGCTTTTTTTTTGGAAGCTTGTACCGGTCCCCAATTGTCTCTAGCAGGACACGATACAATGCAGAGCATTATTAACGAAATAATAAACAGGCTAACCTGGTGAAGACATTGTCTAGATACAAATTAGGGGTCGTTCGCAAATTACGACACGCAAAAAATTACCTTTTTCACCCCCCCCCCCGGGTCACAACGTGTCACAAATCATTTTACCACCCCCCACCCCACTTAGCGTCACGTCACACCTAAAAAAAATTAAAAGATACATAAAAATTTTCATAACTTAAACAAGATTTTAAAAAAAATTCTTTAACATTTTCCCATAATGGATTAAGATGTGGTATTAGCAGAAAACTGTGACGTAAAACGCAAAACAACGAAGTCCTCCCCGAGCCGAATGTAAAATGGCTACCACAGTTTTTGCGTCATTTTTCGATATGCGCAGAAGGTGTGCGCGACTGAGTTTCACGGTACCTATAGGCAATTTCGACGTCAAATTAATGTTTTTAAAATTAAGTCGATAAAGATTTTTCAACATTAGAAATTTTTAGATTTTAAAAAACAAAAAATATTTTGTGACATGACAAATTTTTTTATCCCCCTTGTCACACGTGTCACAAATTCTCGACCCCTCCCCCTCCCCCCCCCCCTGAGCGTGACGTCATTTGCGAACGACCCCTTACCTGCTCAGCGCTCTGCTCGGACAACACACACTAGTGGCACTGCTCCAGCTTCCTCTGGATGAATGATCCTGTCTTTTGATACGTCTTTAAAAACAAAACAAAAATCCAAACTATTCTTGATGTATTTTTTCCCCGTTATTCACAGCTCATACTCGCACAATTCTATTTACAAAAATAAAATGAAAAACTAATTGTTCTATCAATGTATGCATCAGTTACTAACGCTGTGACGCTGGTGTCACGTGATGCTCTCTGTGGCGTTGAAATAGTGAGGCATCTGGTGTCCGCGCTGGATGCTGACGAAGCTGTCCATGTCAGGGGGTAGAACTCGGTAGATGTCAGAGCCGAAGAGTTTTGCCGTGATTATCCCTATCGCCGACTGGTCGAACCTGGAGGAGTTCAAAATAGTCTTGTCATAAGATTTTATTATTTTTAAAAACCATGAAGAGCTAATTTACCTAAAAATTATGTGACGGTTTTTTTTTTTTTTTTTTTTTTTGGGGGGGGGGGGGTAGCACGCTGACTCACCAATGTCAGAGCAGCCCACCTACAGCCTACCCGACTCACCTGTGACAACGGTGGTCCACAGGCGGATCATGGCACCAAATGTAGGACATCGGCTTCACGGGACACATGCAGGCGGCCTCAAGAGCGCACCTTGCCCACGGCTCCAAGATCGCTCGGATATTGAACAGGTCTTTCCGGTATATAAATAGACCTCCGGGCATTTCCGGGAAGGCGTCGTAGGCGCACGGGGAATCACGGAAATATTGAAATGTCTGCGGAGGTTCAATAACAATTAGTAAAAAAAAAAATGTATGAATCAATGACATGAGGTTTTAGTTATCAAACATGTGAACATAACGGCTTTAATATGGGGACCGTGGAGTGAATCACTGGTTATCGTGATGAACTTTAACTACACATTATACAATTCATGCTCTTTGAAGTGATTTCCCTTCAACTTAATAATATTTTGAACAAAATGAGAAAATTGTCAAAAGTAGCCTTACTAGTTAAAATAACGTATTTTTAAAAAAAAAAGATAATTTAAATATCAGCAATAATTAATTTCATAATATATATATATATATATATATATATATATATATGTATATATAATACGAATTTCATATTAAATATAAACACATATTACGTTCATGTTAAATATAGATAAATATTACATTCATTTGAAATATATATGTATACATTATATTTTCCTGTTAAACATGCTACTTTCCTATTAAATATAGACACATACTACTTTCATATGAAATTAAATTCCCATCATTTATTTCTTGGGTGCCCTGCCCCGATCCAGACGCCTCTTCGTCGGATCGAAGTTTTAATTTCATTAAACATACCATGAAATAGTCGGCATTGATAAGTAGGCAATGTCAGAGTGACCTTGTAGCTTCGTAGAAATATGTTATAAATACATTCTCGAGATGATAATAATTCAAACCCTAACATTAAACCTAACACCTACCTCAATACTTGGTGTTTTTTTTCCAATGATTTTTCAAACAATTTCTTTAAAAACAAAACATAAAATTTATAAATTTTACAATTTTTATTTCGTCTAATCATCCTTTAGGAAAGTCGCGTGGTTTTTCCGCATGTTACGATGTCGTATGTTGCATGTTGTATGTTGATTGTTGTGGTTAAAATAGTAAAATCTTTGTAGCCAACCATATGTTNATTCTTGCCACTTAGCTGGGTCGGACTGACACTCACCTCATTGACTGTGTGCAGAGGTATTCTTGCCACTTAGCTGGGTCGGACTGACACTCACCTCATTGACTGTGTGCAGAGGTATTCTTGCCACGTAGCTGGGTCGGACTGACACTCACCTCATTGACTGTGTGCAGAGGTATTCTTGCCACTTAGCTGGGTCGGACTGACACTCACCTCATTGACTGTGTGCAGAGGTATTCTTGCCACTTAGCTGGGTCGGACTGACACTCACCTCATTGACTGTGTGCAGAGGTATCCTTGCCATGTAGCTGGGTCTAAAAAGTTGCAGTCCAACCTCCATGGTTCTGTTCAACAGCTCGGGAATACGAGCTGACCATCTGATGGAAGCATCCATATAGACCAGCAGTTTCCTGGCCTTCTCAATGACAGCCTGTGGGCAAATAGGAAATCCTTCATCGTCTTGATTAGGGATGCCGGAGATTGGGACCCAATGTTTCCTGCTATCACCCCCCTTGCCGGATATTGGGACCCAATGTTTCCTGCTGTCACCCCCAGTGCCGGAGATTGGGACCCAATGTTTCCTGCTGTCACCCCCGATGCCGGTCATTGGGACCCAATGTTTCCTGCTGTCACCCCCGACGCCGGAGATTGGGACCCGATGTTTCCTGCTGTCACCACCGATGCCGGTCATTGGGACCCAATGTTTCCTGCTGTCACCCCCGATGCCGGTCATTGGGACCCAATGTTTCCTGCTGTCACCCCCGACGCCGGAGATTGGGACCCAATGTTTCCTGCTATCACCCCCCTTACCGGAGATTGGGACCCAATGTTTCCTGCTGTCACCCCCCCACCCCTTGCCGGAGATTGGGACCCATTGTTTCCTACAGTCACTTTGAAGTCGGACATAGGGACACAATGTTTATAGGGGAACAGCATTTCCTGCTGTCACACCCCCTTGCCGGAGATTGGGACCCAATGTTTCCTGCTGTCAACCCCGATGCCAGACATTGGGACCCAATGTTTTCTGCTGTCAACCCCGATGCCAGACATTGGGACCAAATGTTTCCTGCTGTCAACCCCGATGCCGGACATTGAGACCCAATGTTTCCTGCTGTCACTTTGAAGTCGGACATAGGGACACAATGTTTATAAGGAAACAGCGTTTCCTCCTGTCAACCTGAAAGTCGAACAGCAAACCTGGGAAGGATTGAGTTCGCCATCCAATCCAAGTGACCAGATCAGAGTTACAGAGCTAAAGAGTTACAGAGTTGTAGAGATACAGAGTTACAGAGTTGCAGAGTTACAGAGTAACAGAGTTACTCGAGCCATTGCTTCAAAAATAATATAATTTACTTTAAAAAATACTTTCGACATTTCAATAAAAAAATTATGAGATAGGATTCATCAGTTCGTCGATGTTTGATATCCCTACTCGAAATAAAATGGCCCCCCCCCCCCGGACACCCACGCCACCCGGACCCCCTCCACCCCCTAAAACCGTGACCAGAATAATTCGACTGAGAGACGCGTGGTCTGGCGAGGCAGTCGTGGACCTGCCATGAAATCAAATGTACATACCCGGGCGATCAGAGGCTTCCAGGAATAGCAGTACATGTCTGCTACATGAACGGGAAACATCTCTTTGGGGAAAGTTATAACCCGACACCGGCAATGTTTTTCTGTCTGTGAACAGAGATACCGGATAATAAAAATGGCATTTGAGACTCCTAAATATAAAAAAAAATAAAAAATATGGAACGAAACAAACGTGTGAAGTTTATGTTTTTTTTAAATACTGTATAAAGCCAAAATGAAACTTTGCAGCACCTCTATAACGTCATTTGCCACGTAATGTTGTTTGTTATATAATGTCATTTGGCATCTTTTCAACCACAAAAAAAAAAAACAAAAAAACACACCATCATTCTCTGCTCAGGCGTAAGTCCGATATCAAAGAAAACGACGGTGAAGTCTTTGACCAGCGGCCAGACGACCGTGTGGAGCCTGTGAAACATGGCCTGCATCTCATCGTAGTGATTGGACGAGCTGGCCGACAGGAAGATGACGTCACTCTCCGGTATCGCGTCGGCCATGGACAAGATGGTGTCCAGTTGGTGTCGGGACAGCGTCAAGTTTGGCGACTCTATGATTTCTCTGAGGCGCACATCTGGGTTCCAATGTAGCGGGCGCGAGCAGTTCTTGACACAGGCTGCCGAAGATTTTAGGAAATTTCTTAACTTATTTTACTTTTTTTTTGTTGGAGGGGGGGGGTTGGGGTTTTTTTTGGGGTGGGGGGTGGGTGGGGGTGGGGTGTCCTCGTTTTATAGCCATTTTAATTGTTTCTATAGTAGTTACTATCCTAATGTCTCATTTTTATTTTAGTTAGTTTACATGTTTTTAATAATTGTAAGTCGCTTAGAGCTTTAAGGTAAGCGTTATATAAAAATGCCTAAATAAATAAATACTTGTTGATTACATGAGGGTATCGTTTTTGAAACAGACAAATGTCATAGATATCTTTATCTGGCAAAGCCTCATCTCTTATCACGTCGCATAATTTAAATTTAAATTTAAAAAAAAAAAAACAGGAAGGTGAATAAATTGTAAAGAAAATTTGTGTGAATTACATCACATTTAGTTTTATTAGACAAAATTGAATTCAGTTAGTGTTATTTTATTTTTTTTTTTTTTTTTTAAGACAAATGTCATAGATATCTTTATCTGGCAAAGCCTCATCTCTTATCACGTCGCATAATTTAAATTTAAATTTAAAAAAAAAAAACAGGAAGGTGAATAAATTGTAAAGAAAATTTGTGTGAATTACATCACATTTAGTTTTATTAGACAAAATGGAATTCAGATAGGGATATGATATTTTTATTTTCTTTTTTTATTAAAAAAATTCATATGCCTAACTATGAATTCCATTTGGAAATTTGGTCAAACCCTTTTTTCAGTTTTTACGTTAAAATTTTGCTTCAAGTTTCCTTTTGAACGCATTGTTTTGTTTTACTATATAGTATAATGCGTTTAAAAGCAACTTTGACGAAAGTTTTATTGTGTGAAAAAAGTTTCGACCAAATTTCAGTTCGATCAAATTTCCGTCAGTAAATTTACCGTCGACGAAATTTCTTTCGATCAAAGTCTGGTAACCCATAGTTAGAGATATGATTTCGAATTAAAAGGGAAAAAAACAACAACCTTGGAATGAGAATTAGGTATCAAAGAAATGATTCTGTAGCTTATAACTTGATAGTAGTTTAAACAAAAAAAAAAGATTTCTTACCATCAGAATTATTCGTACAAGACCTATTAAAGACGATCTTCGGTGCTCCGTTATCTCTACTAAGTATCTCCCGCAGACGACCACTCAGATACTCCATGTCCCCGCCACGTGACGGGCGACTTGTGTTGAACATCAAACCATTCTGCCGTCTCAGTACTTTCCAAACAGAGAGAAAAGAGAAACAACAACACACACTTTTTTGGTTGTGCTTTGAGCCTATTTTCATTTATTTTATTATTTATTTTTTTTTAGCCAAGTGCCCATTGATGAAGTCCAGCATGTGGAACATTGTGTGTGTGGTGGGGACGTGTGTACTTGGTGAGAAAACAATCCGTTGAATCGTTTGGCATAGACTCAAACGTATTCGCTGAATTAATTGCTACTCTTTCATACTCTTTCATACTCTTTCATACTCTTTCATACTCTTTCATACTCTTTCATACTCTTTCATACTCTTTCATACTCTTTCATACTCTTTCATACTCTTTCATACTCTTTCATACTCTTTCATACTCTTTCATACTCTTTCATACTCTTTCATACTCTTTCATACTCTTTCATACTCTTTCATACTCTTTCATACTCTTTCATACTCTTTCATACTCTTTCATACTCTTTCATACTCTTTCATACTCTTTCATACTCTTTCATACTCTTTCATACTCTTTCATACTCTTTCATACTCTTTCATACTCTTTCATACTCTTTCATACTCTTTCATACTCTTTCATACTCTTTCATACTCTTTCATACTCTTTCATACTCTTTCATACTCTTTCATACTCTTTCATACTCTTTCATACTCTTTCATACTCTTTCATACTCTTTCATACTCTTTCATACTCTTTCATACTCTTTCATACTCTTTCATACTCTTTCATACTCTTTCATACTCTTTCATACTCTTTCATACTCTTTCATACTCTTTCATACTCTTTCATACTCTTTCATACTCTTTCATACTCTTTCATACTCTTTCATACTCTTTCATACTCTTTCATACTCTTTCATACTCTTTCATACTCTTTCATACTCTTTCATACTCTTTCATACTCTTTCATACTCTTTCATACTCTTTCATACTCTTTCATACTCTTTCATACTCTTTCATACTCTTTCATACTCTTTCATACTCTTTCATACTCTTTCATACTCTTTCATACTCTTTCATACTCTTTCATACTCTTTCATACTCTTTCATACTCTTTCATACTCTTTCATACTCTTTCATACTCTTTCATACTCTTTCATACTCTTTCATACTCTTTCATACTCTTTCATACTCTTTCATACTCTTTCATACTCTTTCATACTCTTTCATACTCTTTCATACTCTTTCNCACGATCCAGTTCCACTCTAAGCACGATCCAGTTCCACTCTAAGCACGATCCAGTTCCACTCTAAGCACGATCCAGTTCCACTCTAAGCACGATCCAGTTCCACTCTAAGCACGATCCAGTTCCACTCTAAGCACGATCCAGTTCCACTGTAAGTACGATCCAGTTCCACTCTAAGCACGATCCAGTTCCACTCTAAGCACGATCCAGTTCCACTGTAAGCACGATCCAGTTCCACTCTAAGCACGATCCAGTTCCACTGTAAGCACGATCCAGTTTTATGGACCCCAGTTATTGCGAGGATTTAACATTTTGTGCTATTTAAAAAAAACAACAACAACACACACACACACACACACAACAAACAAAACTGGATATAGCCCGCCAAACATTGGCGACAGCAATGAGTGAACTCCCCATTTAATAAAGTTACTTGACAAAACATGAACTCAAGTCACGCACATTTAAGAATCCCAATATTTGCTACACCCCTTCCGTCGTGATACGTCCCTGCACACCTTTTTATTTCACGCCCATGAACTATATTAATATTCTCATGTCCCAACCACTTTTAAACCGAATATTTTTTGCACAATACTTCAATTGAGACGATTTCATTTCCGAAAAGAAAATATTACGCACCAAACGCAGTTGCGATATTAAAAATAGATATACATCATTTAGCGTAGTTATTGGGAATTATATTTTGCGCGCTAGTGAACTCATTATTTAACCACACCCTGGCGTATCTATATAGAGCCTGCGTGCTGGTGTTTGACCTTTGCTGGCGAATTACATATAGTTTCCTTCCTATATATTATTTTAACCCGAATTCTCATAGCTCCACGTTGCGGCGCTCAACTCATGTGGAAAAAAAAGTGATACAACATTGTTCGGTCCGACTGAGTTCCCGTGCACTGCATGAAGTTGGGGGCTAGGGTTAATGTAACTGCGTCCAAGAGTTCACTTTCACTATTCTCTCGGTCCGTTCTAGTGCAGAATCGAAATGTTTATGGGCAACGCATTAGGTCAAGCAATCAAATTTATATATATATATTTTTTTGTTTGTTTGTTTAAAGCCACCACGACAACACATTACGAAATGCTTACTCACATGTTTTCAAATGTGCCAACTTCAGTTGCGATGCTTCAAAGTAAAGCCATGCCATGAACGACAACGCGGCAAGCGCTGCCAGACCTGATCATGGATTATACATACAACTAACTGTTACTATATAGTATATAAATTCTTATTAAACATATTTTTAAAAAAATAGAGTCGTTTGATTAGGGTTACGTGGACACCTTAGCACACATGCCCCAAAATAGCTTGTCCGTAAATCAGCCTAATAAAAAATAAATTTAAGAAAACGACCCGCAAAAAAGAACTTACATTTGACATAGCCTCGTCTTCGAAAGAACATTCAAACGCAATCAACAGATTTATGCTAACGGAAACGACAAAATCTCATTGGAGGCTCTCCCAACGACGCACCGGGCGCACGACATCTCCTGGAGCGCTCAAATTAGCGTTTTCATTGCAACGTCATCCGGCCGCAAAGATTAGTAGCCCACCGTAAGAAAGATGGCGCTCAAACAATAACACGGACAGCAGAACAAAGACATGCGCTTAATATTGTCGCAATGTAAATCTCATTTCGGCCTTTTTATTATTACTTTTTAAATCCCCGATTACTAATTTTAAAGAAAATGTCCCCCCTCCCCCCCCCACCCCCCCCCCCCAAAACTGATCAAGGGAGAGGGCGGGATCAGGGCCCGGCCCGGGGGGGGGGGGGGGGGGAGATTGGCTGTCTCAAGTAGATGTGCAGCGGGTTATCAGGCACACGGCAAACCAGGCAAGTTTAGTTCTGTGGCCTTTATTGGATGGCTGCGGCTATTCGTACCCGGGTACCAGAAATGAGAGGTTGGGATTAAAAAAAAACAACAAAAAACAATAACCATTCGAAATATTAGTGTTGGGTTTGTAAGACAAAATGATGTATCAAATGTGTGTGTGTGTGTGTTCACTCGCATTAAAAAAAAATCTTCGGTCATTGACATCCCTCTGTATATGAGAACATGTATTATTCTTGTTAACGTGATGATTTCCCCCCCCCTCCCCCCCTCCCCCCCCTCTCGAATGCCCCGCGCGCACTCGCATAAGATCACTGTAGGGCAACGGTGTCGGTTGAATGGGTTTGGAAAAAAGCGGAGATTAAAGATCCATTTAAGAGCAGCAATAAAAAGGCAACGAATGTGAAGGATCACCCCATGGGCGTGTGCACGCTGACCAAAAAAAGATCATTGGGTGGTATGAGAGGGGGGGGAAGAGGATTATGACGTGTTGCGTAAGGGTGGGGTATTAATTTTAAAAAAAGGGGGCGGGGGTTCAAGGTCATTGACATAGGTGTATCTTCACCAGGGGGGGGGGG